ATTAAGACCAATGTTTATTTCAGTAAGGCTGTTATTAAAGCCATCACTCCATCTTTTCGAGGTCTTCCACTCGCTCTATACCCGTTGTAACGTTTTAGTGTGGCTCGCTGTGGCAGATAGTACTAGAGCATTCTTGTTAGGTGTCCAAACCACTTCGTTCTGAAAGTGTTAAAAGCAGTGACTAGACGCTTGTCTTCTTTTTTCCGATGATCTTGTATTCAAAACTAGATCAGGGATTTTCAGACACTGGCTAAAGTGGGTCAATGTGGCGATATTGACGAATGATAATAATACCATGAACAAATTTTAATAATAAACTAATGACTATGCACTGAAAAAAAAAAATTGATTCCCGAAGAGATCTGAACGCTCACATCAGAAGGAGACAATCTACTTCCGTGGTCAGGTTATGAGAAGGGAGAAATTTGGAGTAGATCGTGAAGCTGGGAAGCAGGATTGGAGAAGAGACTGAGAGAGAAGATGCTGAACAGTCTGACATCATGGCATGGAATATCATCTTTGTCGGAAACGATATAAATTAGACGAGATAGAAGGTTGTGGATAGACATGATTACCAAGCTCATATTGTATGGACCATGATAACAAGAATAAGAAGAAAAAGAAGTAAAAGAAGAAGAAGAAAAAGAAGAAGAAGAAGAAACAGAACAAAAAGACAAGAGGAAGAAGAAAAAACGAGAGTTAGAAGAACAAGAATCAGATTAAAAAGAAGAGGAAGTAAAAGAAGAGAGAAAATCAACAATAAAAAGGGGGAAAAAGAAGAAGAAGAAGACACGTCGATCAACCTAAAAATGGACATCAGAAGAAAGTAAAGGCCAGCGGCATAATGCTAACCTCATTATCCACTAAGTGACGATTAGTTTATAAAACATTTGGTCTAGCATCATGTGCCTGGTGGTTCTTTGCTTGTATCATGATCATCGTTGTCGTCGTCGTCATCGTAAGTTTAATTTTTTACCGTTAAGCGCAGTGGAGAAGAACAGTAGGTTCTTTATTAATATCCTACGCCAGATTACGTCACAGGACAGTCCAACATTTCAGAGGGTTGTAAGACTGGGTTTCCCGTCTTTCTGATGCTTTTAGCGACCTCAAAACTTCTAGAACTGGCCCTAACCCCAACCCACCTACGTCCCACGAGTTAGTACAGCCTAGGTCTCACGAATGCATGCAGCCTAGGTCCCATGACGGCATGCAGCCTATCTACCACCCATGAAATATTAGACTGTCCCGTGACCTGTGGGTTTCTCCTTTTGGGGGAGTATATTGATAAAGCACCGAACAGTATCCATGCCGTTGCTTGATGGGTAAAAATGGCAATTGTCTCTTCTGTAGAGCAGCGTTTCAAAATCTTTGTGCAATGCCCCATCTAAGCATTTCTAGAATTCTTATGCCTCCTGTGTAACTAAAACTCTGAAGTGGTACATTATCGAACTGCCCCCCCCCCCCCCCCTAATTAACAATCAAATTAAACACCCCCCCCCCTTTCCCATCCCTTTACAATTAACCCCCGCCCCCCCCCTTTTTTTTTTTCCTCTAAACAATCAAATTACCCGCCCCACACCTCCTAAACAATCAAATAGCACCCCCCCCCCCCTTTTTCCCATTAACAATCAAATGCCCCCCTACCCCCCCCCCCTTTCCGCAGGGCATGGGCCCCAAGCTAGGAAACACAGACATAGAGGATCTTTCGTGCCGTCGTGCACATCTCCTACGGGGTTTTCTTGCTTTCACATTAGATCTTTTCTCGTGTAACGCCTACGCTGGTAGTTGTTGTGACTGCATTCTAATAAGACGACCAAGCCATTTTGATACTCTGTTTTTCTTAATGAATTTAGTGCCTGGTGTTGTTCCCACCGTCTGTATAATGGTATAATTTCTCACTTTCGGCTCGGATGGTTAAGTTGGCGGCTTTCCTCAGGCTTCTCATTTCACAGGCGGCTTGTCTTGTATTGTCAGGAATAACTCCATGTATCTATTTCTTTGCATTTTTGAAAGTTGACACTTCTTGCCAGAGGCACCGATCTTGTTCTCGTACAACTCAAGCCTCTCCAAATAATTAAAGAAAGTTGGGGGAGTGGGGTGTGGTGTCGCGTTCAGATCGTGCACTAAAACACACCAATAATATATTGACAGGCAAATAAGACGTGATAAGCGTAACATATTGTTGTTAGGTGATTGAATCTTGATTAGTTGCAGCCGAGAAGCCCAAGGAGGGGGACGTTGATGTCCTAGGGTGGCTCTCCCTAAAGGAAGATTTACCCCATGATCCCAGGGAGAAATTCAGCTGGGGCGTTACTTCCGTTTCTGTAGGAAGCATGATTATTAGATACGGATGCTTGGGTACTGCTAGCTTATTATGAAGTAACAACGTAGTCGCATTCATCAGTATTGAACTACACACTGACTTATTGGAGAAAGCGTTAATGTTTCAAGATCGAGCTGGTGACCTATAATACTTGATGACTAGTGTTATACGTGAATACGTAGCTGAAGATAACGTCTTTGCGAGTGTGTTGACGCTAGTGAGTTACTTTTATTGTTTGGATGAGTCGTTTGCCACCTATCATATATATCATATATTTCCATTTAACTCTGTTAATTCGTCAGTACACCAGTGTCGTACTATGAAACCAAAGCCTTCTCGGTTAGATCAACGTCGAGGTTCCTTGAAATTGTTCGTTGCATTACTGTTGTTACCCAGTTACTCAGTGGCATCCGGTTTCAGGTTGGCCTTGGGACCTTCCGCACCGTTCACTACGGAAATCATCCTTTAAGAGTTTACACTCTAGACTTGGTTGTTGCATTGTTATATTGATTTTCAAGTTACTTAGACATAATGTCGTTTGATTATGTTGTTGTACGCTTCGTCGTTTCGGTTGCAATCACACACTTCCCCTACGTCACAATGAGTGGCGACTACCTAGTCTAAGTCTTCATCTAGCCAATACGTCATCGTCAGCACGCCACAGAGGGACAGGGCTCTTTATAAAATGTTCAGGAAGTCTAAATGCTTCTCTCCTATTCCACCTCTCCACCAACAATGTAAAGACGTTCTTTTTTTTTTTTTTTTTTTTTTTTTTAAAGAGTTTGTTTATGCATATAAAATATTGGAAATATGATATGTGTTTGTCGTTCAGTAAATAGTGTTGGGGATGTTGATAATAATTTAATTATTATTACTAGCCTATGAACACGTTTCTCTGTATCCTGCATCCCTCCACATGCTATAAACCTATTTTCTGTGTTATGCACCACATGTGTTAGTTGTGTATTATTTACAGGACTTTGCAGAACCAACCCTAGCATTTTTTGTTTGTTGTTGTTTTTTTTAAGCAAATTTACGTCCAGTAGTTTGTCATTGCTTTCTGGACGGTCGACTTTTCGATATCACTGTCAAAACCAACGCAAGGTGCAGGAACCGCAGCTAGGATCTAAGCCACAGACGCCGACCTAGCGTACTGTACACTATTTATATGTACCAATTGTAGCTCTAACATAAAATAAATTTATTTCTCTGCATCAGGTATTCCTTATACTATAAACTTATTTCTCCGTAACATATGTCGCTCTAATATATTATAAACCCATTTCTCTGTAGAGTGCATCGCTGTAACCTCTTATAAACCTATTTCTTTGTATAGTGCATCTCCAAAACATACTATAAACTTATTTTTCTATACAGTGCATCGCTGTAACAGATTACAAACCCATTTCCATGTGCCATGTTTTGCTCTAACAGGCAGTGTACCCACTTTTAATCAAGCTCATTCCTAATGCCAAGGTGTTGTTGATCAAGTACGGTTTGTTTGGAACTATTCAACCATCCCATTTGCAAGGTCCAGTAAACCGATATTTATTTTATTGATTGAATTTTAACGCTTGGCTTGCCGCCCTTATCAGGTAGTTACCTTTCACTGTAGGGTGTCGAAGTTAACAATTTGAGTAACAAACAGCTGTCCAGCTGTAAAAGACCCTTTTCCACGCCTTTTGGCGTATTGGGCATATAGGGCTAGAGGTAAATTTTATAGACCAATTGGCACTGGATGGATGATGGGGTCACCTGGTCTTTCCATGACTTCACCTGCACCAGTTCGAGGCTGCGCCAACCTGGTAGTCGAGATATTTTTTTTTTTAAAGTCCGTTACCATCAGGACCCGAACCCTCGACCTTCCGATGCGCAAACGAGTGTCTAGCAGCTACACCACGGCGCCTCCCGGCAGATGTACAAGTAAAAATAAATGTCCCTGTACGGACCAGTGGCGCATCCGACATATGAGACTAGAGTCATGTTCTTTATAGACCAATCTGGTTTAGATGTGTGGTGTGGCCAACGTGGCGCCGGTTGCCTTTACTTTCCATGATACTACGTGACACTTATTTAAGGCTGAGTTGACCTGGGAACCAAGGTCATTTTAGCGGAAAAGATTCGGCGGCACGCCGATTTGAATTCATGCCCTTCAGATCCAAAGGGGAACATCTAGCCGCTGCACCACGACAACTTCCCAGGAAGTTGTAGATCCAACATATTGTTTTACATTAGAACTGCAATATTCGGAAATAAATCATGGACAGATGGACGATTAATATATATATATATATATATATATATATATATATATATATATATATATATATATATATGGGCGTATAGGGTGCTGCCGTGTGTGTGTGTGGGGATGGGGGGCGGGCTGTTAGCGCTCGTGTGCGTACACATACTAGCTATAAGCACACATCTAAAATATTGTATTAACATTGTCTATCCACAGAAGCCACATTAACTTTGCAGTGGACTCTGATCTTGAAGACGGAAACAACTACCTAATAAACTTTCCATACAACCCTTCGATCGTCTAAATAGTCAGATGTTCGATTCTCCAAGAAGATATCTTCCACGATTATAAACTAGAGTAAAATGTTATCAACCCTGAGAATTCGGTGCCTTCTTCCAACCCACCACCTTCACCTGGTCCTCTCTTGGTAACATGAATTTAACTCTCGCTATGGCCTTACAACATCCTCGGCTGCTACCAACACTGTACCCCGACTGTGTGGAGCCTGTGGTCCAATCTGTCCCAAAGGATGTTCCCACGGGCAAGGGTCGTCGTGGCGATCTTGCTGAAGGGGAGTCTGATTTCGGAGCGTTGGTGTACATCGTTGTCGTGCTGGTGTTTTATTCTGCAGGTTAGTTTTTCGGCTCATTTTACAGAAAGCAAAATATGTTATGCAATCTCTCTTTGTCATTTGAGACGAGAAAGAGTATTCTTAAAAGCTATATAAATTCTATCTTAGTATTCAGAAGTAAATCATGCACAGTTGGTAAATTAGTGAACTCTTATTTGGAAGACGAATTATGAGAATACCCTGGAAACATAAAAAGAATAATGAAGATGTCTTGGAAGAAACTCATTCAAGAAGAAAACTGATTGCCCATATCAGAAAGAGACAATCTACATCCTTTGCTCATGTGATGAGAAGGAGAAAACGAGTGCATCGTAGCAGTAGGAAAGTTAGAGGGGAGGAGAGGCAGAGGGAGACTGAGAGAAAAGATGCTGAAAAGCTTGACATCATGGCATAGAGGATTATCTGTGTCAGAGCTGACTGAAAGTACACGGGACAGAAGACTGTGAATACACATGACTACCAAAGACATACGGTATGCACTTTAGGGGGTCACGACATGGCATTTTTTCCAATTTATGACAAAAATATCACTTTTTCAATGTGTTTGTTTTTGTAAAGTTCGGTATTCGTAGAATAGATGACACACAAAATTTATGTCATTTGTAAACAATTTAGCAATGAAAAGTTAATACTAAAGACACCACCTGGTGCACTTTTTTAAGATAAAAAAAAAAGTTTAAAAGTCAGCTTTCTCAAATCTCTATTTTTCAGTTTTCTGTGTGTGTGAAATCCTAAAATCTAAGTTAATATGAAGAGTAGAAACATGACATTTTGTATGCATACTCCATAAACAATATTATAGAAACTGATCTATCTAAAAGTAGATTCTAGAAAGTTTGTGTTTTTTTTTAATTTGATTATTGTCTTATGATGCTAGATTTTTTTTGCCTTTTTCAATAAACCTACATTTTAAATTTCTACAAAAAATATTTAAAAACATGTTTAAAGTAAATAAACAAAACCTGTACCTCTAAATAGGATTAAAGGTCATGAATCTATCACCTATTGTTAAAAACCTATGTTTATTTTTAAAATTTTAGGATTCTAAGTACATATTGTTTTTTTTTACAAGATGGCGGCTATTGCCATGACATCTATGATTTTTTTAACACTTAAAGTAGACAAATGTAATAACATGTATCCCTACAAATGACCTTTATAAAATAACTGCTCTAACTCTGTAAATAAAAAAAAAAAATTTTTTTGGTGTAGTGACCCCTTAAGAAGAAGAAGTTGTTCGGTCTCCGGTCATTCATTGTCCTGGTGTGTCCTTATATATCACATAGCGTTTGCGGTCAATGTCGCCATTCCGTTGTATCCTCTGCAATCAGTTCCTACATCATGGATGAAATCCAATCCAGCACCTCTGATTTCTGTCATGAACGTTCGCCTTAAGGGTTTATCTTGGATACTGTCGCGTCCTCGGTTCTTCTATTTCCTATTTCAGTGCCTGTATGGTAATTCTCCCTTCCTCTTTTCTGAGAATGTCTAATATAGCGCCATCTTCTCTGAATTATGAAGGTTGATACTAATGGTTGTCCAGATATTTCTCCACTCCTCTGGAATTCATCCTCTCGATTTCAGTTACTCTTTGTTTACCAGAAAGAAAAAAAAAATCTACATCTAATAATTCGGCGAAGTTATCTTTTTTTTTTAATCATGATCCTCAACTGCCCTGTCGACTGACGTAGGTCATCATCATCATCATCATCATCATCATCATCATCATCATCATCATCATCATCATCATCATCATCATCTCTCTCTATCTCTCTCTCTCTCTCTCTCTCTCTCTCTCTCTCTCTCTCTCTCTCTCTCTCTCTCTCTCTCTCTCTCTCTCTGCAATCTGCGATCTTCCGCAGTCTGTATCAGTTAATGTTTTGACACCCCTCCATGATATGACAAGAATGTTAAGAATCTTTTCACGTTGACTTTCTCTGTCTCTTTATCCACATTTCTCTCCAGTGGCCACACCGTGGTCTAGTTTCTTTCTTGTCATGACCAAAAAACTGTTTTCCTATAATCGTCACTGTGTTTTGTTTAACTCAAAACTCAAATGTAACTACACGCGCGCGTGCACACACACACACACACACACACACACACACTCCCTCTCACACAAGTGCACACACACACTCATATACATACATATATATATATATATATATATATATATATATATATATATATATATATATATATATATATATATATATATATATATATATATATATTTATATATAGTTCTGGGGTTGGTTCTGCAAACGTCCTGTAAAGGATACGCAACTAACTTAACGGCAAGGAATGGATTATAGACTCACCATCGTTGACTGGCAGCGTTGACTGGCAGCGTTGACTGGCAGCGTTGACTGGCAACGTTGACTGGAAAAAAAAAAAAGCAAGAAGGTTAAGCAAAAAGACAAATACCTTGCTGGCATGGCCCCATAGATGGACGAGACAAGAGCATAGATCTGATCCAGGAATTTGGTGATCATGTGAGATAATTACTTACAATAAAATAAGCTAATCCATCCATTTACTCTGCTTCTTGCTATTTCATTTATAATATCCGTCTTTTTAGATAGAAACAAACAGAATTAAAACAGTTTAATTCCTTCCCGCCCCATTTTCCTTTCAGGTGTGATCATCATGATAGTTCGATATCTCAAGACGGAGAAGAAAGAGCTGGAGGAGGAGGTCACCTTAGAGAATTTCTTCAAATACATGCCGGACAAAAGACAAGAGAAAGAGCACCGAGTCAACCGGATCGCCATTCATGCCTTCCATACATTGACTTCCATTTCCTATGATGATGAGCAGCTGGAAGAGCTGGATATCATTTCTGAGTCCTCGTCGTCTCCTGATCCGCTTTATGTCGACGGTGTGTGACAAGTTTCTGGGGTGTGACAAGTTTCTGGGGTGTGACAGGTTACTGGGGTGTGACATGTTACTGGGGTGTGACAAGTTACTGGGGTGTGACAAGTTACTGGGGTGTGACAAGTTACTGGGGTGTGACAAGTTACTGGGGTGTGACAGGTTACTGGGGTGTGACATGTTACTGGTGTGTGACAGGTTACTGGTGTGTGACATGTTACTGGTCTGTGACAAGTTACTGGGGTGTGACAAGTTACTGGGGTGTGACATGTTACTGGGGTGTGACAAGTTACTGGGGTTTGACATGTTACTGGGGTGTGACAAGTTACTGGGGTGTGACAAGTTACTGGGGTGTGACATGTTACTGGGGTGTGACAAGTTACTGGGGTGTGACAAGTTACTAGTGTGTGGCAAGTTACTAGTGTGTGGCAAGTTACTGGGGTGTGACAAGTTACTGGGGTGTGACAAGTTACTGGGGTGTGACATGTTACTGGGGTGTGACAAGTTACTGGGGTGTGACAAGTTACTGGGGTGTTACAAGTTACTGGTCTGTGACAAGTTAATAGGGTGTGACAAGTTACTGGGGTGTGACAGGTTACTGGGGTGTGACAGGTTACTGGGGTGTTACAAGTTACTGGTCTGTGACAAGTTAATAGGGTGTGACAAGTTACTGGGGTGTGACAGGTTACTGGGGTGTGACAAGTTACTAGTGTGTGGCAAGTTACTGGGGTGTGACAGGTTACTGGGGTGTGACAGGTTACTGGGGTGTGACAAGTTACTAGTGTGTGACAAGTTACTGGGGTGTGACAGGTTACTGGGGTGTGACAGGTTACTGGGGTGTGACAGGTTACTGGGGTGTGACAAGTTACTGGGGTGTGACAAGTTACTGGGGTGTGACAAGTTACTGGGGTGTGACAGGTTACTGGGGTGTGACAGGTTACTGGGGTGTGACAGGTTACTGGGGTGTGACAAGTTACTGGGGTGTGACAAGTTACTGGGGTGTGACAAGTTACTGGGGTGTGACAAGTTACTGGGGTGTGACAAGTTACTGGGGTGTGACAAGTTACTGGTGTGGGACAGGTTACTGGGGTGTGACAGGTTACTGGGGTGTGACAAGTTACTGGGGTGTGACAAGTTACTAGTGTGTGGCAAGTTACTAGTGTGTGGCAAGTTACTGGGGTGTGACAAGTTACTGGGGTGTGACAAGTTACTGGGGTGTGACAGGTTACTGGGGTGTGACAGGTTACTGGGGTGTGACAAGTTACTGGTGTGGGACAGGTTACTGGGGTGTGACAAGTTACTGGTGTGGGACAGGTTACTGGGGTGTGACAAGTTACTGGTGTGGGACAGGTTACTGATGTGTTACAAGTTACTGGTCTGTGACAAGTTAATAGGGTGTGACAAGTTACTGGGGTGTGACAAGTTACTAGTGTGTGACAAGTTAATAGGGTGTGACAAGTTACGGGGGTGTGACAAGTTAATAGGGCGTGGCAAGTTACTGGGGTGTGTCAAGTTAATAGGGCGTGGCAAGTTACTGGGGTGTGGCAAGTTACTGGGGTGTGACAAGTTACTGGGGTGTGACAAGTTACTAGTGTGTAACAAGTTAATAGGGTGTGACTAGTTATCGGTGTTTGACAAGGATACTGGAATATGAATATCAATGACATGAAACAAATGAAATGGTATGTGGTGCCTTTACTGGTGTATGACGTAGAAGCCGTATGTGATATCATATCTTCATCTCCTGACCTGTTTTATGTTAACGGTGTGTGATAAGCTACCTATATGTGCCAAGGATACTGGTATGTGAATATCAAAGCTGTGTAAAAAAATATGAAATGGTACGGAGGTGCCTTTAATGGCGTATGACTTAGATATAGTATGTAATGTCATTTCCGTGTCTTTGTCTGATGGTGTACTTTATGTTGACTGGGTTTGATAAGCTACTAGTGATATGTGACAAGAAAAGTGACATGTGACAAGATCTCAGCTACATGACAAGATCATAGATATGTGTCAATATCACAGGTACGTGAAAAGGTCATGGGTACGTTATAACATCATAGTTAAAAACTTCCGGTCAAAATGGCCGATAGCCGACTAATGCTCTGAAAAGTAATTTTGTTTTTCCTCCAGCTAGGTTTTGATTATGCAAATTACTCATCTCTCTACTGGGAGTCAAAGTTCCGCCATCCAGCTATTTAGTTGATTTCTTGGTGTGACACTGTGAGCTGTAGTTTTCATGTTGAATGTGTTTTTTTTTTTTTTTCGTTTGCTGTTGGCCGCACTAAAATGGCGGGTCGACGGCGATTATGTCCAGAATGACATGTACTTTTGCAGACTCAATGCCAGTGTTTGTGATTGACCGTCTGCATCAACAGTGAGCTTAAATTCTGCTGTGGGACTGTTGGTCTTAGCAGATCTGACAGCTGCTTTACATTTTTTTTTATTTGCATGAGCAAGAAAGAAAATACATAACCTGTTTACATAACCTGTTTACATAACCTGTTTACATAACCTGTTTACATAACCTGTTTACATAACCTGTTTACATAACCTGTTTACATAACCTGTTTACATAACATAAGGCAAAATATTATATAGTAGAGAACAACATCTTCTGTCATGTTGTGTACATTTGCCATTGCGCAACTTATTCTGTTGTCTTTTGTTTTTTAATGCACTACCCATTCTAATTTTTACACTGCTTACGATTAACATGCTATTTTAAAATGTACACTAATGTTGTACAAGCTGCTATATTATGCAAAAGTCCGTTTGTACAAACAATTGTATTATGTTTAGTTAATTTTTTCTTCCAAGCTAGTAAATGTGTGTGTGTGTGTGTGTGTGTGTGTGTGTTCGCGCGCGCGCGCGCGAATGTGTGTGGCTAAGAGTAAACATAAAAGTTAATGTTTATATGTAAAGTTAACACATAATTTTCTACGTGTACCAGCATTTTAAGAGTGTAGCCTCTAATGAAGTCTCCCCCAGAATCATCGGCGGGTGGAAGGGGGTGGGTGGTGAGGAAAGCGGAAGTGATGTCACTCTCTCCATGATAATTTATAAGGATACTAAGGTCCCAGTAATCAGGTATAGATCCTTTGTACGTGTATATGTTTCTTTTATTTTTTTATTTTTTTTTTTCAAATACATAACCAAAGTAATAATTAAAGCAGTGGCTCTCAACCTCCATAATGCCGCGACCTTTTAATACAGTTCCCTCATGTTGTGGAGACCCACAAGTAGGGCTGTACCAAATATTCGCTTTGTATTCGCTTCGGGTCGGCTCTGTGGCTAAGTCGATGCGAACACTTCGCTTCGTAATGCCGGGATGCCAGGTTCGATCCCAGCTGCGGGCAATGCGCCTTGCGTTGGTTTCGACAGTGGTATCAAGAAAGCCGACCGTCCAGAAGCAATGGCAAACTACTGGACGTAAATTTGCCTAGAGAAACCACACAACAGCCAGGGGCTGTTAGGGTTGGTTCTGCAACGTCCTCTAGAGGATACGCAACAACCTGATTCGCTTCGGGGCCGAATAGTGGACCTAACAACTATTCGGTATTCGGCCGAATAGTTGTGGTCGGGCCGAATACGAATAGTGGTTACCTTTCACCCGTTTCTGGACTAGTGGAAAATGAACATATCAAGATTTTCTACATTGGTTCATACCGCCAAGCGTTACTTTGTGCACCACCTACGAGCGTACCAAGTTAACGTCTGTTTAGCACAGCTGGAAATACCTTCAGTGAGACAAGAAGCTGCCTTAATGCTGACAACATGGAACGATTGTGTGTGTGTGTGTGTGTGTGTGTGTGTGTGTGTGTGTGTGTGTGTGTGTGTGTTTTAAGCTAATTCTTTCTTGCTTGCTACCCAGTTTTAACATATGGCTGTGAGTCCTGGACAATCAGTAGGCAGGCCAAACGATTTCTTGAGGCCTCAGAGATGTGGTTTTACAGAACAATGCTTAAAATACCTTGGACAGCCACACACACACACACACAAAAGCCACCAAGAGGTTTTGAAAGAGGCGGGTGCCCGAAGACAACTACTCACAGACATCAGAAGGAGACAGTCATCATTTTCCGGCCACATTATAAGATAAGGAAAAATGGAACATGTAGTGACCACTGGAAAAATCTGTGAAAGAAGGGACAGAGGAAGACAACGAGAGAAGATTCTTGACAGTCTTGTTGCATGACATGGAGGTGTGTCGGCACACCAACTAATACATGCTGCAGGAGATCGCAGATTGTGGCAGGGCATAATCGCTCATGCCAGTCGGCAAAGGACCTGATGATGATGATTCACTATTCGTATTCGGCCGAATAGTTGGTCCAGCTATTCGTATTCGGCCTGATATGTTCATAGTGAAAATCACTATTCGGTACAGCCCTACCCACACGCAATTTTATTTTCTTTATAACTTCAATGAATATGTGTTTTTCCGATGGTCTTAAGCTACCCATGTCAAAGGGTCGTTCGACCCACACACAAAAACCGCAGATTGAGAACCTCTGAAATAAAGGATTCCTTCCCGCACCTTCAGGCGTATTGTGCATATAAGGCTAGGCTTATATTTTATAGATAAATCGGCACTTGATGGATGAGATGATCAATATCACACCAGCCACCTTCTTTTCCCAGGACTTGTAACTGGTACTCACTCAATGCTGGGTCAACCTGGCAACCAAAGTCATTTTGAAAGAAAAAAAAAAGCCAAGCAATGTTGGGACCCGAACCCACAACCTTCCGATCCGCTGTTTGAATATATTATGTTTATTTGCTATTCAGCACATTATTATTATTATTATTATTATTATTATTATTATTATTATTATTATTATTATTATTATTATTATTATTATTATTATTATTATTATTATTATTATTATTATTATTATTATTATTTCGCGCCCAATGCTTCCATTGAAGCGCACTCCTTGGAAACGAGTAAAGTTTAGTTTAGTATAGTTATGTCGGCGGATCCACATTATGTGGCGCCCTCATACTTC